CATTGCATTACACCAAATACACAACATAATGTTCTTTTTAGCAACGTCAAATGACCCCTTTAACAAATAATTAATAAATTATTTAAGATGTGCAAATACTAGAAGTCTACACAACAAACAAACACCAAATATATGACTTTTACAGACTGTGATTATGAGTTAATGAATATATTAACAGGAATAGTTTGTAAAGTGCTTATATGACTAATTAAGCTATATTTTCACAACATTTGTTAATGTAAAAAAGAGCGTTAGCTAATATTACATTAACAAATAAACTTGTAATCATTGTATAATTTCTGTTAAAATCATTTGTAGGTTTTTAAAACGCATTGAGTTTAATGGCATTTGTAAACATTAACTAATGATGCATTAAGCATTATATAATGTTTGTAAATGATTTATTAATAAAGCTTTTAATCATTGTAAACCATGTCAAAATCATTTGCATATTTTAAAAAAATGCATGATCATATGAATTGAAAGTTTAATGACATTTGTAAGCATTTCAATTTACATTAAATAATGATCTGTTAATCATTTGGTAATGTTTAATAAGTTAATTAGTTAACCTTAAGAAGCACATTATTTCATATTTCTAGGTATGTGAATATATATTAAGTAATGATTAGTTAAACATTATATAATGTTTGTTAATGATTTAGTTATTATAAAGTGTTACCCAATAATGTCTTGAGATAAGAAACATAAATACACAAAATGCATTATTTCTTCTAAAAATATTTACTTCTACTTCCAGCAGTGAGTCATTTGTCCCACACTCTGTTGACTCTGGTGTGATTACTAATGAAACTGTTAATAGTGCTGACGGGGGAGAGGCAGCATGTGTGACGTCAGAGAGTTTCACCCCTGGGCTGTTGGGATGCTAGACAGAGTTTCTGTGGATGATCAACACTGTGATAGCGATCTCGAAGAATGAAAAGACTGATGATTCAACTGTGCTTTCTAATGATCAAGCACGACCGCACAACACTGAGAGCACCTGATGGTTGACCGTGTTGCAGAGAAACATCACAACTATTTTCATAGGGTATCATTTGGTATTAGTTGAACAATCAAACAAAAAAAAATTTAAACCTTGTTTGACAATCATATGAGCCAATTTCGTTTAAAAAAAGAAAGAAAGAAAAAGAGATACAACA